ATTGATTATGGAATGTTTTATTTTAACATGATAAATAATATATTTTAAGACAAGGTGTCCAAATATTTTCCAAATCATTTCTAATATATATATATATATGGTATCAGATTGATCCAATTTCTGTGCACTGAGGACAAGCCAGTCCTAGGTTACAAACTGAACTCTCCAATGCAAGATGCATTTCTTCCTTTAGGAGGTGCTATTGTCAGAAGAAAATAAAAAGGTTTCAGTTTTGTTTTTGCATGTGGGTGGGTATTCTATTTGTAATAATTGTTTGGATACACTATATTTTTAATATGCTAGTTGTGATAATTTCATGCCAAATAAAAATGTCCATAGTCATATTTTATGTTCCTAAAGTAACAGAATGACTTTCAATCTAGAAAAGACAAAAGAAATGCTAATGTAGCATTTTTTTCAATTTTTCCGAAAATTTCCGTTTTTTCCTGGAAAAAAAACGGAAAAAAACTGGTTTTTTTCCCGAGCTTCAAAATTTCTGGAAATTTTACATCTCTACAGGTGACTCAAGTCCAGTGCACATCACAGTAGCACTATTGTGCTAAAAGAGAGTGGCATGGATAAGGCCCACTTACAGACTTCTTGGGTGAAACAGGATTTGAACTGGAAGTTTACTGACCCATAAGAAAAAGCTTTATTGGCTGTCAACCAGTTTAAAGTTGTTTTAGTTGAACAAGTGATCATATGTGTTTCTTTTATGCATGCTAAATGACAAGTTAATGCTCCCTTTCACAAGGGACGTGCTGACTAAAAATCAGTATGCCTAGTCTGGGATTAAATGTGCCCATGATTTGATTTATGGTTTTATTCATTCTTGAAAAGTAACATGAACATTCATATGATATTCTAAAATGTTCTTTGCATCTCTGTTGAGAATTTTACAATAGATGAATTATTTCTGCTAACTTTCACCGAAATCTATTAAAGTTTCTGTTTTAAATTAATCTCAATCCAGAAATTAAATGCATTAAAATATTGTTTCATTTTCTTTTTCTTTCCCCCCCTGAATTTAGATGTGTTGGAACAAATGATTGTAAATGATTCACAGTGTAGCGTGGAGGAGTGGAAAGGGATAGCCGAAATATGCTTCCGGCACAGGAAAATAAAATTGGGCAAGCTTCTCATCTCAATCCTGACTTCACAGGAAGGCGTGGTTGAACTCCCTCCGGATGATGATGGTGCCAAGTTAATGGAGCATGTTTTCTTGTAATTTCCCTGCCAAGCTCATGGGGGAGCTCATTGCCCTCAGAACTGCTTCAGCTAGTTGAGTGAACCACAAAAAGATCTGTGGTTTTTCTGCCCTTTTCAAACCATAAAGTATTTAATACCTGAGTGTCTGCTTTAAATGGAAAATATCGTGATGTGGCCATTTTACCTGAAGAAAACTAACTGTGCATTAATATTTGAGCACAGTAATGCTTGTCTCACATAAAGCTCTTTGTTTTGCTTTTCATCATAATGGAATCAGGTTGGTATCAGGACTCTTTTCATTTCACATTTTTCCTCCTTTTCCTGAAATAGTTTCTTATCCCACAGGCTTTTTCCTCCTAAAAATTGTGAAAAGTACTGGAGTTCGCAGCGTAGCATAGTGAAATCAGCTCACGTTTATTGGATTACATTACAAAACGAAAGATAAACTAGCTGGTCCGATGCTGGCTTATATGCGTGTCCCCGCTCACACCCAACACCCCCCCCACTTCCCGTGATTCGTTCTATTTACAAGTTCTCAGTCCCCATAGGTTCCTATCTGGATCTGCGCAACCCTATTGGTCCGCGCTAGGATCTGAGCTGGCTATTGTTCAAGGACCGAAGGACTTGTCCGTAAGACCACATGGCCGGGCCCACACGGCAGTGGCCATCTTAGTACACAACAAATTGCATGCTTTTAAACATTGAAATTATACAATTAAACTTACATGCAAAGGTAGGAATTTTGTCTCTTTTTCCAGAATCCCCGTTTAAACTGGTGCTGTAGTCATTTCCTCTCCCTAGGGAACCCTGGGAGTTGTAGTTCCCTGAAAGGGGTAACCAACTTGACATAGAATTCCTAGCCCTTCAAATTGTCCTACTCCAAATGGTTAGGAAGGGATGGGTTATTTGCCTAGGAAGAGCCACAGAACAAACACTGCATCTGTCCCTTCTCTGCTGTAGAGCTCTTGTTCCCTTTTTAAAGAACTTTATTTTATGTGACAAAAGCAGGAAGTAGAGGTCAGCTCCAGTCCCAGAATGTGCTAGAAACGGGGCAGCTTCCTTGTGCAAAGACCCGGAACAGAGTGTATGAAAAGCTGCTGGTGCAAACATGCTTATGGAATTGAGGGAAGGGGAGCAGAAGGCAACACAATCCAGGTCTCTATTGCAAGACCAGATCTTCCATCTATAATTAGGATTGCCAACCTCCAGGTGGCACCTGGAGATCTGTTATTCATGTTGCTCTCCGGACAACCAAGATCAGTTCCTCCAATGAAAATAGCTGCTTTGGAGGATGGATTCTATGGCATTGTATTCTGCTGAGGTCCCTCCCTTCCCCTAACCCCACTGTCCCTAGGTTTCACCCCCAAAATCTCCAGGTATTTCCCAACCCAGAGCTGTCAACCCTAATCTATAATCCCTCCTTCCATCGGCTGAGGCCACTGTGTTTGTTTCACTGTTTGGTGCCATAACTAACCTTCCTCTGATGTCCTTTTTTTTCCCCCCCCCCCCCGTTATTGGTTTTTGTATTAACTGAAAATGGGGGTAATGGTAGAGGAAGAAAGATCTTCCAGGTGGAGGGAACAGTCCCAACCACCCATTCACCCCACTCCTGTTTCCTAAGCATTTCATGTGCCCACATATGGGGTGTATGTGTTTTGTGTTAAGTCGTGCGCTTAACAAAGAAGTCGGAGAGTGATTCAGCAAGAATGCGGTTTATTCTTCAGCTCTGTTACTTCTCCGAACACGGTACAACGATCGCCAGCCAGAACCCATCATTCGAACCACTGGACAAGCACTGGCTGCTCTGTATTTAAACATTCCCGGCTAATGTAGCCACACCCACTGTACAATAAGCAACCTATGAGGTTGAAGCAATAAGGACCAATCACAAGCGATCCCGCTCTGCACGGTGATTGGCAAACATATTCTGGGCTAGGGCTCCTATTGGTTACATTAGGATCCTAGCCCAGGGCGAAGCTTAACATGGCATCTCAATGGCACAGTTCACAAGGCAGTTATATACATCTCAATACATAACAAATCCCTCCCCCCTAAGCAAAAACACTATGTACAATCATAATCGCTTAGGTACATTGGCGCTCTGCGCGATCTCTGAGACCTGCGTAGCTGTACAGGTTCAGGGCACCTTTCATTCTGGGGAGTATTGCACGACTCTGGGACCTCAGAGTCAGGAGCACTTCCATCACTAGCAATGGGTCTTTGAGTAGGGGTCTGCCCTGGCTCGCGGACAGTACTGGGGCCCTCGGGCACATCAGAACTCACCTCCGGAAGAGGTTGTGGAAGGTCCTCGGAATCAGGTAGCTCGGCAGGTTGCGAGGTGGGGCGGCCAGTCGCCCACCGCTGCCTCAACTGGTCCACATGTCGCCTCCATTTGCGCCCGTCCGCAAGCTGGACTACATACATGCGGGAACCCACTACCTCAGTTACAGTGGCTGGAAGCCACGAATGTCCCCCAGCATAGTTCTTGGCGAACACAGTATCTCCGCACTCGTATGTGCGGACCTTATTGGGAACACTCTGCTGCTGGGGCCTCAAGTCGTTGAGGTCTGGATGCAGCCTATCCAGCAAAGACGCTAGGCGTCGCCCCATCAATAGTTCGGCCGGGCTGCGGCCTGTGGCAGAGCACGGCGTTACGTGTTGCCGTAGAAGGAATGACGCTAGTTTCACTCCCCAATCCCCGGATGTTAGCTTGGCAAGCGCATCCTTGGTCGTGCGGACCATTCGCTCTGCCTGCCCGTTCGATGCTGGGTGGAACGGGGCAGACGTAATTTGCCTGATGCCATTGTTAGCCAGGAATTGAGCAAACTCTTGCGACACGAACTGAGCGCCGTTATCGCTTACCAGGACATCAGGCAACCCATGCGTGGCAATTAAGCGGCGCAACACATTTATAACAGCAGTGGAAGTGGTGGTAGACATTGGCGCCACTTCCAACCATTTCGAAAAAGAGTCCACCACAATCAAAAACATTTGACCCTGTACTGGGCCCGCCAAATCTATGTGCAGCCTCGACCAAGGCTTTCCCGCCGATTCCCATTTCTGTGGGAAGGCGGTTGGCGGTTCGGGTCTCGCCTGCTGGCATGGCGTACACCCCCGTACCCACTCTTCAATGTCAGCATCCATCCCAGGCCACCATACATATCCCCGGGCCAGAGCCTTCATATGCACCATGCCGGGATGGCCCTCGTGTAGTGATTTCAGCACTTTTTCGCGCCAGCGTTGCGGTACAATCACTCTGTTCCCCCACAGCAAACAGCCCTTTGATACCGACATTTCGCTTTCCCGCGTTTTGTACGGTTTGAACTCCGGCTCCAACGTTCCTGCCGGCCACCCCCTCCACACCCAGTTAATAACACGACTGAGCACAGAGTCTTTTGCTGTCGCAGCAGCAATGTCCTTAGCAGACACAGGTGCCTCCGGCAGTTCCTCGATAGCTAGAATGGAGCAAGTAGGAGCAGGGTCCAAGTCCTGGCCGGGCAGAGGGCAGCGGCTGAGCGCATCAGCGTGTCCAATGGCCTTACCCGGCCTGTGCTCCAGGTCGAACTCGTAGGCTGAGAGGAACAAAGCCCACCGCAACATGCGTGCGGACATAACATCAGGGAGTTGCCGGTCCTGGGCAAAAATCCCTAGCAGGGGCTTGTGGTCTGTCACCAGTATGAATCTCCGTCCAAACAAAAAGTCATGAAACTTCTTAACAGCGGAAACTAGCGCCAAAGCCTCTTTGTCAATCTGCGCGTAGTTTCTTTCCGCTGCTGTTAGCGACTTGGAATAAAAGGCGATAGGGGCTTCCCGCCCGTCGGGCATTACGTGGCTCAGCACAGCTCCCACCCCAAATGGGGACGCATCAGCAGCTAACACAAGCAGTTTGTCCTCATCATAATGTGTTAACACTGCATCAGACGACAACAATTTTTTCACCCCATCGAATGCCCGCTCATGCTCTGGACCCCACCTCCATTTTGTGTCTTTATGCAGCAGGTTGTGCAATGGGGCCGCAATCGACGCCTTGTGGGGCAAGAAGGCGTGATAAAAATTAAGGAGTCCTAGGAAGGACTGTAACTCCTTCTTCCCTTGTGGCCGTGGGGCATTCTGGATTGCGGAGACCTTATCGTTAGTAGGATGGACCCCAAACTCATCCACCCGGAACCCCAAGAACTCCACACTCGGGACTCCCACCAGGCACTTCGACTTTTTTACCTTCAGGCCCGCATCAGAAAAACGTTTGAGCACCTCCCGCACTCGGCACAGCAGCTCGTCATCAGATTTGCCCGCTATTAAGACATCGTCAAAATAGGGCACCGTGCCCGGCACCCCCCTCAACAACCCCTCCATGAGGCTCTGAAAAATCCCCGGCGCAACATTCACTCCGAATTGGAGTCGATTTACTCTAAACGCCCCCCTATGCGTTACGATGGTCTGGGCGTCAGCCGCCTCTTTGGTCACGGGGAGTTGTTGGTACGCTTGGGCCAGGTCGAGTTTGGCGAATACCTTCCCTCCTCCCAGTGATGCCAGTACGTGGCTAATGACTGGTACAGGGTACGAATGCTGCTGCAAGGCTTTGTTAATCGTGCACTTGTAGTCAGCGCAAATTCGTATTGACCCATCGGGTTTAATTGGAGTAACAATGGGGGTTTCCCATTTACTACAAGGAACTGGTTCCAACACCCCTTGTTCAAGTAGCTTATCGAGTTCAGCCTCGATCTTTGCCTTGAACGGAATGGGCACTTTCCTGTATTTTAGGCGTATAGGGCGTATAGCAGGATCCAACTCAAAAGACACTGGGGGACCATTATACTTTCCCAATCCGCCCCCAAACACTTCAGGAAATTCAGCATATAATACAGCCCATTTATTTTCCACAACGTTATTAACTCCCACAACAGCAATACCCAGAGGCTCAAACCAGTCCAACCCGAGCAGGTTGGTACGGTTTCCCTCAGCGATCAAACATGAAAGCACAGCACCTTTCCCTTTGAAATTAACTGTGAACGTATCCCTCCCCGCCAGAGGGATTCGATTTCCCTGAAAATCGGACAATCGGATGTCCGCAGCTCGCAACCTCCGCCGACTTCGTGTTGGGAACAGCTTGTGCCACGTCTGCGTAGACAAAACGGTTACCGCCGACCCGGAATCCACTTCCATCTCACAC